TCCGGATTTACCAAGGTGTGATTGGACACTCCACATATTAGCCCCGCTTCACTTATCTGTATTCGCATACGAGGTCGTGCGCTAGAAATCCAGCGCAAAATACAGAAAAACATAAGCTTTTGCCGACGATTGAACCAAGGCGCGATATTGGGTCCAACTAATTTGCATAGAAATGGTGGCCGCATGAGGTCACTGTTCGCGCTGTATTTTTAATGCACTGCATAATGCATGGCCCTTTGCCTAGCGAGGATATTGTTTACGCGCCACGGCCGGGATGACTAACATTTAGCGCCTTGACCAAGGCTAGTTCCGCGCAAACATCATCATTGTGATTTTGAATTCAGGGGGACGGAATCACACGTAACAACCTCGTCCCCAGTGCTTACTTTATTTCCAACCGCGTTTCCAATAGTAAACCCTGGATAGGAAACTTTCTTCCTGTATCCTGATTGGATACTGCAATTTGCTAGTAATGGATTTTTATCGTGTACTTAGTGCTATTATTCACAACGTGCAGTACGTGTTTTCGCGATCATTCGTCCACGCCTTCTCGAAAATACTAATTTCCTTTACATTTTGCTCATATTAATATGAAATATGATACTGCATGTTGTCTCGATAAGATCGTAACAGTTTGATTTCCAAAATCGTGTTTTCGCAAATCACGAATTGACTCTGTTTTTACCCCAGACACCGCATACAAAAACAAACGCTAATGTGTAACGCATATCCAGGCACCAGACTGTTCCTCATTTGCATACGTGTTCAAAAATCTTGCACATGGAAATGATCCAATACCAGGGTGAAAGAGCAGGTAGTGGTGGGCGCGTACTGCTCGACACCCTGGGGACGAGGTCGCACAAGTAAGGCTTAAACCTAATTTCCATACATTATAGGAAGAAAACTTCCTAATGCATTCGGAACTCACTGATAGCTACCTGTCCCCACATTAAAGATCCAAAGGACAATGGAGGGACGAGGAACCAGTCTATTCCATTGTTTAACTCGACTCCTTTGTTCCTCCACTCTACGACATCAACGTTCAGCGCAGTGGCGTAGCCACGGGGGGGGGGGGGGGGGGGCGTGGGGGACAGCCCCCCATGAAACCTTGTCGCCCCCCCCCCCCAGTCGCCCCCCCCCGAGATTTTGAGTTTCTAAAAAAATTATCATTGATCTACATGACGCCCCCCCCCCCATGAAATGTTCCAGCCCCCCCAGCGCCCCCCACTGAAAAATTCCTGGCCACGCCACTGGTTCAGCGGCTTCACTGTTTGGTAGCCTTTCACCAAGGCCACAGAGGCTTAGATCAGCGAATCTGACCACACTTTCGAGTGGCGAAGCCTTTTCAAAGACATTCCATCTACAATCGCGAGGTTTAATAAGGACCTGGATGTTATACAAATAACGAATGTTTGTGAGTGCGATGGTAAGAATAATTTCATGAGGTGACAGATTGAATGTTATATTCCACGAGGTGAAGCCGAGTGGAATAGAACATTCAATCTGTCACCGAATGAAATTATTCTTTCCATCGCACGAACGTAAAACATTCGTTATTTGTTTTATGCAACACCAGAATAAATTCTTGTCATTTGATTGGTAAATTATTATTTTGATTTTAAAGATGTTGAACTACCCCTTCACGAAAATGTTTGAACCCAACGCTGTAGCGCTGGCTCTTTGGAACAATACGCGCTACGCTGAACGCGCACACCAGCATGCATTTTGCACGCAAATACCGCGTCATGGAACAAGCGCAAAGTGAAACGGTTTAACGTATGGGTATAACGCATGGTCGCACCGTGCATTATACCGAATAATAATATGTCACGTGATCTACAATTCACCAATCAGATGACGGGGATTTATTCAGTTGTTGTATAATTAATACTGACAGACAAACATATGAGGTTATGTCTGACTGCCGATAATGTCCGACTCATTGTGTCCGACGGTCGATCATGTCCAACCCATTGTGTCCGACGGCCATTATGTTCGACCCATTGTGTCCGACCGCCGATTATGTCCGACCCATTGTGTCCAACGGCCGATTGTGTCCGACGGCCGATTATGTCCGAACCATTGTGTTCGACGGCCGATCGAGGATTTTGTTTAAATGTAGGTCTACATTGCTGATAATGTGGAAGACAATCTTAACTGTACCCCGTAATGTGACAATGCAGCCGTATTTAAAAGCATTCACTCATGAATTTAAGATTGGATTTGAACAGAATTGGACACCAGGAATCCGATTTTCCCTGACCCAATTTTGTCCGGTAAACTCTGAAAGTTAATGTCATAACATTTTGGCGTCCTATGGAATGTGATTTATTTCACTCTCTATTTTGGGCTCTAATTACTCTCACCGGTGACTTTTCAATGTCATTATGTTTTGCACTCTATGAAGGAATCTCTTCATAGAGTGCAATTGCCACACTAAGTGCAATTGCAACACTTATCGGAATCAGGACCCCTGTAAATGTATCCTGATGAATACACTTTTTGGAATAGCGCCCTCTGTTGAGGTACAGTGTGCTTCTTAGCAACAAAAGCGCAATGGACGACCTGATGCATGGTAGTTAATCTTTTCGACACTGACTTGATTGAATCTGAAATTTGCTGATGATACTGATCAATAATCACAATAGGATGCACGGAGGTAATTTTCTGATGATTATATTGTCTTATGCAAGGAGTATTGTCTTTGAATTGGAAATGATTTTATGATAAGTTTGCGACTGAATTCTTAGTAATTCGCAACATGATAGAGCTGATTACTTTTGTGTGCTCAAACCCAGTCTCACTTTCTGATAATGTTAATCACACTTAAACATGTAATCAATGTACACTTTCGTCATAATTTTGATTCTACTTTGTGATTTTATCTGGTATATTCACAGTTTTCACGGAGCCAATTGATCAATGCGATAATAAATGTAGAACCTGATGAGGCTTCTGTCGAAACCCTTGCATTTCTATGATCTGCGACCTATGACCCACATCAGAAATTTGTGCGATTCCCCAGCTGTAGCACTAGTAGAATTGAGGAGCTATACCACCTGAAGTGCTGCCGCTACAACCCCGTTAATATTATAAAGGGCGGTAGGTAAAAGTGGAAACAAAAAAAATGCAGTGAAGCACCGCACCTAAAAAGGTTATTTATACAGCAATTTAGGTCATTTTTCTTTTGTAGTTTGGAATTGCGGATTGGAGAATTTTAAGCAAAACGAGTATCGATGAATGTAATATCGCTTCAATTGTGCATAATAGTGGTAAAGATCTGGCGATTTTGGAATCTACAGAGGTGAAGGGAAAACTATAGTTGCGAAAATGAGTAGGTACACGTTGACCTTTGGGGTATTTTTGCCCTTGTGGTTGCTACTTTGGGGTAACCTTATGACCGAAAATCACTTTGTTCGGCAATTATGATGGTCGTTTTGTCTGTAAATTGTATACAACTTTTTTTTTTTTGCAATCAAACTTGGACTGGCAGCAGGTCGTTTCGTTCATCTCATCTTTACACAAAGCACATCAGCCGATGAAATACAAATTAAGCTAGAAATGTGTTTGTGTACGAAAACAAGCTGTTTCGTCTGTTTTTGAAATGGTTCTGTGAGATGTGATGACTCATCATAATATTTCATCATGAATTCACGGTGTCATTATAAATGTCATAGGCATGAATAATACACAACACTATACACAAAGTACAACTGAATCAGACCTTTACTTCTCGCGAGACCTCAGCAAATTGCGCCTTAAATGTGAGGTCACATGACAGGTCATCACGACTGAAATTTACATTTATAACACTGTAATGATTCAACCCAATTGGATTTATCTTCAGGAGATGTCTTCAGGAGATATCGGGCTTTCAAAAATGCACCTTAAATGTGACGCAGCTTGACACCTGATGACGCCATGAGTCTAAAATCGAAATTCCATCTACACTCGCGATGTTTATTGGTGACCTGGATGTTGAGGTTATCCGAGAACTTGGCACAGGAGCTGTCGTTGCCAAGACATTCGAGTAAAAAATTGAGACCGATACAAATGTAAAGATTTTGGGTTCAGCGGAATTTCTGAAAAGTCACGCACGGTCGAATGAATCATTTACATGCCGAACAATAGGAGTCCTCCGTGGTACCCGTTGAATCGTATGCGCATGCGCTTCAAAATAACAATGATTCATGTTTGCAACCTTATAAATAATTCAACCAAGGCCTCACAAAATGTTAGAAAAATCTTTCGCGCCGAGTTCGCATCCGCTCCGCTTCGTGGCTTCGCAGCTTCACCAAAGCCACGATAGTATGGCCCAAGGTTCCACTGTTTAGTAAACGCTCCAATTAGCCATTTGACGGCAATTCAACATATGACGCGGTAAACGTCAACATCCCTAGATAATGTTTTCAAGATCCCCAGAGGATGTTTCAGGAGGAGACTAACAAAGTACCTAATAAATGGGTCGTTCATTGCGTTATCTATTCATGGTGCACTTGTCAGACAGCATGTACCATAAAGTAACATGGGAGTAACGAGGAGGGGGACCAAGGGAATTTTCTTCTTTCCCTTGACAAAAATAAAATAAAGAAAGAAACACAAAATGAAGAGAAAACAATATACAATATACACATTTCCTTGCTTTCGAAATAGTGGTCACTTTTACAGACAATCAAATGTGCACTGGCCGCAAATCCATTCTGCTTTCTAATCCTATCGCAACGCACATCTACTGATCTGATTCGAGTTATGATTCGATCATGGAACAAATCAAGCAAATACTAAACAAGCAAGACCAAATACATGGTTTATTTATAGACATTTTTTATTTCACAAATAGGAACATAACCGCTAAGCAAAAACAACAGTTAAATAATAAATGTACAATATTGGTATATCCCTCAATGAGATCAAGATGGCTGCCTCTTAGCTTCTCTTTACGATAACTCGTCGATATTCGCACGAACTACGAATATTTGGGAAATATTCTCTTATATTCTTTTCTTTTCTTAATAATTTCTGCATTCACAAAAGCTAACCTCCACCGTATTTGACCTCTAAAAGTTTGTAATTTTGGAATTCTGATAAACCTGTACATCCACAGCAATAAGTCATCACATTGATAACATTGTCCAACACTGTACTAACAATATTACAATATATAATAGCAATAAAATGTTACTTTTCCGTAACAATACACTATACATCTAACACCAAAATGTGCTCCGAAATGATTGTACAATGATTTAATATCGTGACTTAAATTGTCTTATATTTACAGCAAAATACCACAGTGAATAACATCTAGAAGCAAAAGCCCCATCTTACTCGGCACAAAAGCGAACGCGAACGCGCTGTGAGTTGGCAAAAGAAAAACCACACTTTTCAACTCGGGCGAATTTCACGGCGAATGATCCTGACCTCAGATGCGCTTTGCAATGGAATTCGAGTGAAGTATATGAACCGGCCCTTATTCAAACAGTTTGATTACTAAAATATTTCAATTATCGAGAGGTTTCCCTGTTCCCACAATTCACTTTGATTTTCCGAGTTTATTGTTTTGGTCAATTATGTATTGTATTTTTAACAGTTCATTGATTTTTGTTTATTTCGAACAATGTATGAATATAATACATTGTATTGAAGATTGAAGATAGCAGCACAGCTTAACATACATTTTGTTTTTACTATACAACAAAGTACCACAATTATAGTTTAGACGTTTCTACTTACAGCGCAAATACTATGAAAAAAAACAAACAGAAAACCGCTATAACTTTTCAAGAGATACACAAGGCCAAGTTTTCACACGTACTTCGCTTTCTCTTTTCTCAAGACACAAATTCACGCAAGGGCCTTTAGTGATTATTCCAAATCCTCAGTTTGTTTTTGCTTTCTGAAAAATATTCCTCTTACCAAATATACTAATTTTTTTTAATAATCAATATTCAACATAGAAGTCGAATTTATTTTGCATTGAATGAAATGTCAGCGCTGTCGAACAGAATCAACTGAATGCTTCAACTGAATTAATCACGGCGACATCCAAGCAGCTCCAATCGCAGAGCAACATAACCATACCATCCAGTAGGCTCAATGCGCACTACCGTGGCGACCACACTCTCATCAAACAGGTTAGTGACCGGGGTGTCGCCATCAGTGTTACCGATGAACACCTGAAATGAATCCCAATGCAATTAACGCACGTTAGCAACAAAAGTAGCCTCCTTGCAGTAACGTCTTAGACCAAGACTATTAAAAGAGCGGACAATCTCAACAGTCGTCCTTCCAAACAGAATGTCAACAAACCGTAAATATATAAAAAAGTAAACTGTGTGTCCTGGGTGGGAACTCACTTTTAAGTTCTTATTCAGCCATATAAACTTCTCTAAACTGGGCTCCATGGGTTATTACTTCAGCTTAAGAGCATTTTACCTTTTTTTTTTACTTAAAGTAATTTTCTCATGAAAAACCTTTCTATTGGAGAATGTAGCATCAATATTTTCTGTCGTTGCTTCTTTGGTTGCTATAATTAGACACGATTTCGGAATTGCTAAATGATTGCATTAGCATGGAACCGAATAACGTCGTACAGAATACAGCTATCAAAATTCGAGAAAAGCCCAAACTAAATTATAATTTAAAGAAAAGTTACGTTTACAATATTGTGGTTTTTTTTGCCCAAAACTGTCCAACGTATATCAGTTAAATTTAGCTTACAGCAAGACTTAGTCATGATTGATACCCACCTTGTTATTTCCGTTTCCATCTGTTACGTGTTCATAGTCAGATGAGGACTGCTTCTTGTACGACACCTTGTACTTCTTCACATAATAATCGTGAGAGGGGTGGCCTTGTGTGATGACCCCGCTGACCACTGTAGGCTCATCGAGGTTCACCTCGATCCAGGCATTGGTGAAGTAACTGTACACAGAGGGAAGAGAGGATGAGGAACAATGAAATAACAATACTCCGCAAATCCGGTTGTGGAATGGATTTGAAAATTGAACACAGTTATTGAAAGTCGTTACAGTGTGCAATTCAAATGCGCATCCGGGTTGGGCTTTGGCCGGGATAATATTTGTTTTATAATGAAAAAGAGAACTAAACAAGAAAAAGATTGTTGAACAAAATAAAACAAAGCGCAGGGGCGGATCCAGACTGCCGTTTGCCGGGGGGGGGGGCTAGAATTGTAATGAAGGGTCCAGGACTTTCGAGCGCGGAGCGCGAAGCCCTTACGGCGTGGAGTCCGGGGCCCACTTTAGGGCCCCGGAAACATTTGGATTTTAGATGCTCTGTGGTGCAATTTGAGGCGATTCCTGGTCACTTTCTACCGTTTAGAAAACGTTTTAAACATCGAAAATTCCATTTAAATGTGTTATTTTTGTGTTCTTTATAAAGTTTGTTATGCACTCAAAGTTGAGAACCATGTTCCATCTCCGTATTTTTTCACAACTTCTTATTTTGGAAAGGGATTTAGGCCACTTGCAGTCCGAGCCTCAGCCATTCGCTGAAGGTACCAAAAGGTGGGGGCACTGCTAGGGTGAAATTATAGCATAGAGGAAATTTGGCCGGAGGACTAAGGCGAGCGCTGAGCACGGAGCGCGAAGCCCTTATGGCATGGGGTCCGGGGCCCATTTAAGGGCCCCGGGAAATTTTGGATCGTAGATGCTCTGTGGTGCGATCTGAGGCGTTTCCTGGCCACTTTCCCCTGATTTTTTTTGCAGAAGTTTTTAAAGTTGTGAGGGGATATTTTGTTTCATTTGTTTCAAATACATATAGGCCTATAAACTCTTGCTCTTATGAAGTTTCTTCTGCATTCAAAGCCTTAAGTTGAGACAATGCACATAATTTGTAATTGTTCCGCGCTCGGTCACATAACTGACATGAATTTGAATATGTCATTAAAGCGGATCCATATTTGGGGAGTGTAACAAACTGGCATGAAACGTATCCGATAAATATTTTAATAGAATCTGAAATGGCCATTGTTTGATTTTGTTTAGTCACCAAGCCCAGAGCGTGAAAACGGTTTGACTTCATACGCATTGTACGCAGCAGTTGCTCGTGTGCAGTCTCATGGACGTATGACGCGCTAAAAAATACGCGAAATGAGACTCCACTACAGTTTGTTTTCCCTTGTTTTATCCGCATATCGTGCGACCATCATAACCCGCGCATAAAGTCTTAGGAGGTGCGTGAAAATTGCAACGGCTTTTGTACGATTGTTCTTCCTCAAACTCAAAACGGGTGGCTCGTCCGATCACCGTCCGTTCTTCCGTTGCCCCCCCCCCCCCCCCCCCCCGCTGGATCCGCCAATGAAACATAACATAAAAAAACATTGATTCAATTAGATGTTCATTAATTAAACACATTCAGGAGCGTTTTGTGGCATTGTAATGATACAGAGGGAATATAGATATGAGAGTTACGTGTCAGGTGTTGTATTTCCCTTTGATACATACTAGGCTTGCCATCCAATGTAATTGTTTAGGCGTGCCTGACTTGCAGGGCAACAGCTGCGAATATTGGACGCCGTGATGCGATTATCTTGTATTGTCCCGTTCTCCATACCAAGGGGTTGCAGACTGGAACACTCTGCTGGTGACAAATGAGTGAACAAATGGAACATTTATTCATAATTATTGATAATTAAAAAAAAACCCACTCATATCGTGAGCAAGATCATTTGATCCTAAACCGTGATTGGGTGTAAAACACATAATAATACTTCAAATTTTACCTTAAATAAATCAGAATGAAAATACATGGAGCATGACTATGCACCAAAGGATTTTCCGTTGTCGATCTTTTTTCTGGTTTTACTTTGGGGACTTGCATAAAACAAACCATTTTTTTTTCGAAATGGGTGGAGTCGAACGTATAACATTTTTTGTGGCAAAAAATCAAACGTGAAACAAATTAAGCACGACAAGCATATCTTCTCATTTCGCACATTAGCAGGTGTTTAATGTCAATTGCAGCATCGCAATTAACATCATTCAAAATAGAATGTTCAATCCCAATGCAATACATGTATAACCTATAGAACAAATCCACATGTTTATTAGTCGAACCTCCCGTATGGGACATCGTACCAGCAGCTGGAGTACTGGGTTGCCTCCTTCCCGGGCAACGCTTTCGTATCTCTTGAATAACTTGCTTCATCCAGTCATCCGGATTATCAGGATCAGGTTGCGGTGGGGGACCGGAGTAACACACCCTCTGCTGGCTCTCCACACCAATCAACAACACTTTGGAATTAATTGAAATAAAAACACAGATGAAAGCCAATGATGCCTAATGTAACCTAATGTAAACTAATATGCAACGTTTTTAACAATCAAAAGCTCTTTTCATTGAAATCGCAAAATATTGACGAATAAAGTGCCCGTATGTGTGTGTCTGCACATACACAAATGACGAACAGCGCTCTCTATAGTCAAATGGTGATCACCACGCCACCCCCGCTGTAGTCTGGTTCCCACACCAAACGATTCTGACTATGTCTGATAAATATTAGGTGACAACCTCGTCCCCAGGGTGTCGAACAGTACGCGCCCATCACTACCTGCTCTCTCACCCTGGTATTGGATCATTTGCATGTGCAAGATTTTTGAACACGTATGCAAATGAGCAATAGTCTGGTGCCTGGATATGAGTTACATTAGCGTTTGTTTTTGTATGCGGCGTCTGGGGTAAAAACAGAGTCAATTCGTCGCAGCGCGAGCACGGCGTGAGTTACAAAAACACGATTTTTTAAAATTAAACTGTTAAGATTTTATCGAGACAACATGCAGTATCATATTTCATATTAATATGACCATATTGAAAAGGAAATTAGTATTTTCGAGAAGGCATGGACAAATGATCGCGAAAATACGTACTGCACGTTGTGAATAATAACACCAAGTACACGATAAAAATCCATTACTAGCCAATTGCGGTATCGAATCAGGATACAGGAAGAAAGTTCCTATCCCGGGTTTACTATTGGAAACCAGGTTGGAAATAAAGTAAGCACTGGGGACGAGGTTGATTAGGTGAGGATAGTGTAGCGGAAAGTGTAGGGACGTATAGCTAGTTTATTTACTCCGTCATTCGTATTGCAATAACGTATATTCACTGTGTGTTGGTGACTGGGCGGATCGTAAGAGCCCAGTGACTAATATGCACGTACGCTTTTGGTTGTCAAAGGCCCATAGGTTTAGTACATGCATATATGTTTGTACGGCGTATGCATGTTCAGGTGAGGGCCATTCACCTGGTCGCGCGGAGGAGTTGTGCTGTGGACAGCGGACGGTGAGGTCGTGTATTGCTCGCGCTCTGTGTTTTGGGTAAGGCTGACGCGCACTGTGTCAAGGCGCTGGCCATAACTGTGCTGAAATTGCCCTGTGTGATGCTGACGCGCAGCCGTACAAGTGAATGTACCGAACGATGCTGACGCTAGCTTGCATGGGTAAAGCGTAAACCAGGTTAAGGCTGAACAGCGTGTATTACTTACATCGGCGTACATTTCTTACATTGGTGTGTATTACTTAATACATTGGTGTGTGTTGTTTACATTAGTGTGCGTTGTTGACTTAGTGTGCATTGTCTACATTTGACGCATTGTGCATTGTTTACATTAGTGTACATTGTTGACTTAGTGTGCATTTTCTACATTGGACGCATTGTTCAGGCTGTGCGCGTTGCTGCTTAGGTGAGCTGTCAGTTAACTCCCAAGTGTAATTAAGTGGCCCTGATAATTAACAACCTCATTAAGACAAAAACACTACTGCACATTTCTTGATTATTGTTTAATAAATTACAATTACATTTGTGGTGCCGACATTCCTGTTGTCCAGGTGTATTTGTTGTTGGTTTATTGTGCAATTAACAATTATTGTGTAATCACAATCATCATAATCGGCGGTATATTTCCTCCAAAACGGACCTGCTCCTTAAGCCTTGAGGTCGCTCTGATTGGTCTCTCGTCTTGGGAAAGCTTGGGTACGGGAAGATCAGCTACACTTTAATAGGTGTCAGACTTGGTCCCAACGAACTTAGGTTTGGCCCGTGGAGATCCCCGCCACAAATGGTGTCAGAAGTGGGATGATTGTAATTGATTAAGTGATTTCGCTGTTAAATTATTGGATTGCACATTGTGTTTTGACTTGTATTGCTAATTGTACTGTGGTTTAATCGGTTGTTTGTTGTTTGTTTTCGAGTGTGATTGTTGTGGTTGTTTTCAATTATGAGCAAAGGCTCGCAGGGTCAAGCGGGCATCTCAAGTGCTGAGGCCGAGGTGCAGCGACTGCGAATGGAAGCTCAATTTCTGCAGTGGGAACAATATCTCATTGCAAAGAAGTTAGAGGCTGCCATGGAGACGCAGTCGGGTGGTTCTCCAAAGGGAGGGAACACCATCACGCCAGGTGGGAGCCGGCGTATATTCCATGAGGTAGATACCGATGTTGAGCTGAGGTTGCCCGAAGAGACTACTGGGTATGTCCCTGGAGCAACGGGGAGACGAGAGTCAGACACAAAGATGGTGACTGACTGGGCCCACAAACGTGGAGGGGAGGCCAGCTTTATGGAAAGTACGCCTCTGAAAGACTCAGGCTCAATGATAAACCCTCGGGCAGGGTCGACGCCAATCGCCTGGGAACGCGAGAGTCAAGTCATAGACGACTTGACGCTGTTCCTGTCCGGGCAAGATGGCGCGGAGCAGGGTAAGCCAAGTACTAACCCGTTCATTCGTGATATGGAAAATGTGAACCCTACACAAATGTACAGCGATCTGCTGAGTTTCGCAACTAGACCAGTCTTGGCGAAAGACAGCAGTTCGGCTGAAAGAGTGGACAGCTCGTCAGTAGGTCCTTGGCCACTGAAATGAGAGGCACGTGTCCATGGCGACTTAGGTCTGAAGGGAAGTGTAGGGCCACCAAATCTTAGGCCAAATATAACCCCTGACCGGTATAGTTGGAAAGTGCTCTGGAAGGCGTACTTCCGCCATTCTGAGTCATGCCGTGAGGTAAACCAGTGGAGCGAAGAGCAAGCTGCGAAGTGGTTATCCGCAAGCTTGCAAGGGGATGCTCTACGGTTGTTGGGCGACTCAGGTCAAAAGCACACGTACAGTGCGCAGGTAGAGTTTCTTGAGCATAGGTTTGGGTCAGCTCGACAGAGTGAGAATTATCTCGTTGAGCTTAAACACCGGCGCCAAAAGCAGAAAGAGGAATTGCTAGAATTAGGGCAAGCAATCCACGAGTTAACGGCGCGAGCATACCCTGAATTACAGGAAGAGGCTCGAGAGAAGTCGGCAGAGAACCACTTCGTAGATGCCGTTGACAGCAACTCAATTAGAGAGGGCATCAACAGGGCCCGTCCAAAATCCTTGGACAAAGCAGTCCAGGCTGCCCTGGAGACTGAGCATTTTGAGAAGGTCGAACAGCATAGATTGCTGGACCGAAGGCCTGCCAAATTGGCGAGGACTATGGACTCTGTAACATAGCAGAGATTAGAGACTCTACAGGAAAAGTCTCGATGAGCAGGCCAAGACATTGAAATCTGTGGCTGAGTTGGTCAAATCATTGTCTGACAAGAGTAAAGGCCATGGACAAGGCAAGGGCGTGGTGTCTCAGAAGACGTACAAATGCCCGGGAAAGCCGAAGCTGGAACCTTTAGGTGTTTCATATGTGGTGAGAGAGGGCTTTTCGCCCGGGAGTGTAAAGGAACTCCAAAGCAGGGAAACAACGGTCAGCCCCGGAGGACCCGCGGGAAGGCTGAGGGGTCGAAAGGGTCCAAAAGTAGACTCGGTGATGAAACCAAAAATAGAAATGGGAGGTCCAAACGTGAGGATGGGCAACGAGTAATAACTCTGTCTGATCCAAGCCGTGTTTCTAGGTATGGGTTGTTTGTGTATGGGTTGATAAGAGCAACCAAGTGTCGATTCTCGATTGACACGAGGTCCACCAACACTCTAATAAGTGGTGCGGTGTATTACCAAATCCCAAAAGAGAAAAGACCCGTTTTGGAGACGGTAGACGTCCAGGTAAAACAGGTGGACGGAAGCCAGTTAGCTGTGCTTGGCATGTTTCTGGTTGAGGTGCAAGTTGGTATGACCACGCACCAAGTGAAGGCTGTATTTGCTTAGATCTAATACAATGGTATCCTGGGCATGGATTTTCTCGTGCCAACAGTTGGAAACATGCACTTCCAATTAAGGATGTGGAGGCTCAATGGTGAGAGAATCAAGTGCACAAATGATGCAGGCGAGCCCTTCGTGGGACGCGTTGTAGTTTGTAAAACTACGGTAATCCCACCAGGTCATGAAGCAGTGGTTCCCGGCAAAATTGCTAGGAAGGGTCCCGACTTGCTCGGGCCAGCCATAGTAGAACCGGTGGAAGGTGGTGGTTACTTAGCAAAGAAAGGCTTGTTGTTGGCCAGATCTCTGGTTGAGACTGAAGCTGATGTTGTTCCGCTACGGGTCTTCAATCCCGGAAGGGAGAAAAGAGCTGCCCGTGAGGGAACAACAGCGGGGGTTATCTCCCAAGTTGAGGCAAGTTCTATTCATGATGAACTGAACGCGGAGGCAAACACAGGGAAGGAGTTGCCCCT